ATTCACATCAGCATAAATAAATAAAATTTAATATATATAACAATCAATTCTTCATATAAAACCACTGTTTATTTTGTTATATATCTTCTTTTAATTAGATTTCTCCTGTACTGTTTGCCGTCTTTTCCATACAAGAATTTGATATATTCTTGAATTGAAATAATATTATTAGGTACATGCTGACGCTACCTACTACCTACAAATAAAATTAAGAAAAGGAATAATGCACATTTTGCTAATTTCAATTACTAGTTTTAATTACTTTATTATTACTAACTAATATAATTATTACTAATTGTTAATTAACAAAAGCGTGCAATATATTACTCACCGCAGTAAGAAGCTTCGCGTCTATAGTAAAACATTTTGCAGAAAATATATTATCGCAATGAAGTACTTGTAAAGAAAATATTTGTAACTGCAATCACAAACCGTTAAATATAAGATTGAAAAATATAATTATGAATACAATTTGGTTTAACAATAATTATTACACAAGATACAATTTAAAAGAAATGTAAAAATTTGATATTTCAGTATATTACCTCATCTTTGATTTTCTTATCGGTGGTAACGTTAAATACATCATGAATGGAAATGCTGATTTGTTGAGCTTGAGCTTTACCCGTTTCACAAGCCCATACTATCAATAGTATTTTTATGAAGAAGTATGTCACGTACTGTAGAAAAAACGTGTGAAATGATATATTCATAAAAAAATTCACGTTCACTAAAAAATGTTTTGCTGCTAGTATGTAGAAGTATAAACAGATAGTGATGGTAAATAAGGTCATGACTATTGTAGCAAGGAGCTGTAAACTGAAGATTATGTTTAACATCTGTACTGTATCACTGATCGTCAAATGTTGTATTTTTAAAGCCTTGAGTTCCATAATCAGAAACGGATTTCTATGGTTGTGATAGTTCAATGTATGGACTCTTGACTCATTATTTGCAATAAATCTTCTCATGCTCATCAAATTGTCGTTGATTCTTGTAAAACATGCTTTTAATACACAAACACAATTCATGTACAGCATATCCATCTGAAATATCGCTACAATAATGTATATTTCAAACAAGCGATTTATTGGCAATATGTATATCAACGATAATATGATCCAAACTGAATAAAAGAAACCGATGATATCTTTAGCGTGGATTAGTTTAGATAACTTCTCATATGATTCCGAGGGCAATCTTGAAGAGATCTTCATTATAGTCTGAAGCAAGCGCATTCGTGGAACCGTTAGAATGGACGTGACAATTATTATGAAATTGCCAAGCACTAAGATACAGATACGTACAAGATTGATAAGTACATTTATCATATAATTTTTGAAAATAACAAAATTGTTCTGTATTATCAAACAAAGGCTACAAGAGCAGATAATGACAATCAACAGAATGAGATATGGTTTTGAAATTTCAAAACTCGTAACATTGATTTTGTACGGAAATATTCCAAAGATACGACATAAAATGAAGCAAGGTTGCATCAAGGATCGGAAATCCTTGGCGTGGAACATTCGCCATTCTATTTTTTCTTTTTTTCTTTTGGATCCTCCTTGAAAACTCGATGACAAATTGAACATAATCGATGATTTGTCACAAATGATATACTACGAACAATTTAGAAATTAATAATTACGTTATTAATACATTTTGATATAAATGTGAATGTGACAACAAAGCTTCTTTTTTAATTTAATATACACAATCTTTTCGTTACTTTCTTCTACGTACATTAATCGATATAAAATTCTCGTCAATGTTGACTCGACGAATTTAATTTCAAAACTACGAATATAATTGCTAATGGACATAGATCTCCCTTCTTTGTAGTATGAAATCTCACGTAATTCTATCACGTGATCTCGCGGACTCTTTTCACCACATGCTACTGGTGGGTGAGATTCTGAAAAATCACGTGATGAGATCACGTGAGATTCTACGTCAAATTAAAAAGATACTTTGTTTGGCATGATGTAACCATGGCATCTTTTGATCGGCAATTTTCATTTCTTTATAAGGGAATATATAAATTATGTAATTGATGACGTACGACTTGTGAATAATAAGTGCACACATGAAACAGCAAACGACATTATCATGTGAATCGCTTTCAAAAATGCTTTTACAATGATTACCTATTTGCTAATAACTATCTATTTTCAGAGTCCATATTTTTCAATAATTCCATAAGATATTTTATTATCCTATAATAAAACAGTATATGGGTATATAAACTGCTTTAAAATGAGAAGTTACTTGTAACAATTAAAAGTTTATTAATGAAAAAAGAGAAAATTATACAATTTAAATCTCAAAAATTATTTGTATTAATAAACTAATATCAATCGTATTATAGCTCTTCTATTCCAGAAAATCAATAAAATAAAGAAGTATATTATCAGATGGAAACGATGTTATTATAATGATGAGCTGATTACGTCACATTGAAAAACTTAAATGAATTATTATATTAATACATAAAACTCATTTTGCTAATATATAGGCAATATATTGTATGATCTGTTCTTAGAAGTTAAATGTTTAATCCAATTTAGATATAATTATATTATCTTCGATAAAAGATAATATTTGTAAAAACGAAAATAAGTTAAGCAAAATAAAAATTAATGATTTATTTATATAATATATTGTATGATTTGATATTCAGAAATGTATATATTTTATTATTTTGATAAATAATTATAAGGAAATTTATAAATACGTAAGAATTTATAAATATTTATAAATATTTATTTATAAATATTATAGTTATATTGATTGTTTATCAAACAATTTATAAGTAAATAGGAAGATATCTTTTTAAGATTGAAGTTAACATTATTAGTATTTATTAAAACTTTTCTCTCTGTTAAAAAAAAAATTTTTATTTTTAATTTATTAAAGTTTCCATTCTTTTCACTGTTACTATCTCAGATTGTGACGAGATGATACACAATAAGAAATTTTTCCAAAATATTTTAATATGAAAATATGTCTTGATAAAGTTTATGATTGATAGAACTGACTTGTAAAATATATCGAAAATTCTTCTATTATGTTATATGTTTTGTGTATATGTTTTGTTAATTAATAAAAAATCATGTGGAAATTAATTATAATATAACCAAAGATGAAATGAGCTAGAGTCTCTCACAGCTGTGATATATTCTCAAATTAATATTATTTAGAAATAAGTATGTGATTTAACTTTCTCTTCAAAAATTTTCGATACATTTTCTAGCCAATGATTGTAAAGTGTTAGTTTATTGAAAAATGAATCTTCTATTCATATACAATTCTTATTACAAGAATTTATGTTGTTTTCTTGCTTCTGATATCATAAGATTATGATAATAGTAAGCCTTAAAAATCCTTTAGACCTTGTAGTGCGTAATGAAAAGCCTTTGTCATTTTTTTTGTAAAGCTTTCTTTTTTTTTACAATTTCCAATTTTCCAATTTTTACAATTTTTACTTCTTCATCTACTTTACATCTTTCGCTCCGCACACATAACTTTGTAACTCCTCACTTTGAACTTGGATTACAAAATCCAGCAACAGTTACAGATTAACCTATCACTCTACTGTTGTTTATCTTTTATAATCAGTATAAATTTGTGAAACATTTTATTCCATTCTTCTTAAATTACTTTTGCATTCTGTTTAGAGATCAGAAGTGATGCTTGCAAAATAATTATCATATTAACAATTATTAATGATTACTTATTTTTAATTTAGTAAATTACATTTTCATTCTACTTGATCGTACAAATGTCAATTTATATTAAGAATTAATACAGTTGTTGATTTATTCTGAATCAAAGATAGATTAATACAAAATTCGAAAAGTATTAAGTTTAATCTTGCAAAGATATCAAGTATTATACATATAGAAGAACATTAAAAAAATTAAACAGACTTCTTTTCTTTTTTCTCATATTTTCTCTTATAATATATTATTATAATATGAAAATAATAAAAACTTTCGGAGTTTCTTATATAATATTTTCTTTTTATGTAAGGAAGTACATAAATATATAAATATATAAATAAATCGTATTCTATTTTTTGATTATCTCTTTTATTGTGTATAATTGGATTGCTTATTAAATATTGACTATCTGTCGCAAGAATGTGATATAATCAAGAATTGTATTAATATCAACATATATGTCGAGATTTTACCCATAAACTGAAAACAATAAAAAGTATAAACAATATGGACTATTAATTAAACTAAATAATTTCATTACTTACAGTTGCGAAAAGCGTTGCATCTACATTGAGACTTTTTGCCGAAAAAATATTATTACAATGCAATAATTGTAAAGAAAACAGCTGCAGCTACAAAGTTAAATCTCAAAGTAATAAATGCAAGAATAAAGATGTAAAATTGAAAAATGCATTTATAATTGAAATTATAAATTTAATGTTTAAAAAAATTGACATAAATACTTTTTCAGAAAAATATATAAATAAATTAAATATATGCAAATAAAATTATAATTTTATTACCTCGTCTTTGATTTGTTTATCACTAGTGTTGTTAAGTAGATCGTGAATAGTGGTACGAATCTGTTGAGCCTGATTTTTTCCGGTTTCGCAGATCCATACAAGTAGCATCATTTGTGTAACGTAATACATTATGGATATTAAAAATTTGTCAAAAAACGGATTATTAAAACTAATAATGAGTATGCCATCTTGCCAGCGCACTATATAGAAGTACAATTCAAAAGTCGTCATAAAAAACATTATAACTATAGTAGCAAGTAGTTGCAGACTGAAGACTATGTTCATCATTTGCACTGTGTTACTAAGCATCAGATGTCGCTTCTTCAGGGCCTTTAGTTCTATTAGCAAACTTCTCTTTATGTTGCTCATCAATATGGAAACACATAATGGTCTTGTATCGTTTATCATGAGTCTTTGTATATGCGTCAGATTATCATTAATATTCTTGAAACAAGCCTTTAATACATAAACACAATTTATATATAACATATTTGTTTGAAATACCACAATGACTTGATATGCTGTGAGTACCCTGGTCAGGCTATTCAAAGAATTAAACATCTCAGTTTTAGGAAAATATATATATATTTGCATGATCACGAATATGGTACCCAAGATATCCTTAACATGAATAAATTTGGATAGATTTTCATATGACTTCGAGGGTAATTTCGATATCTTCAAAATAGTCTGTAGCAAGCGCATTCGCGGAACACTCAAGATATGTGTAATGATTATGATAAAACTGCTACACATATAGTATAAAATAGCCTGAAGATTTTTGGTCATATCTCCGAAATTAACTTTATAAATAAGAGTGTGAATGAGCATTATGTCATAAATGCCGCAAATGCAAATAACTATGGTTGATAAGGTGTACCATGTTTTTGAAGCGTCGAAAGTCGAAGCACTGATTTTATAGGGAAACATTCCGAGAATGCGGCTAATAATGAAACAAGGATACATTAAGGATTGAAAATCCGTAGCATGTAACAGCCACCATTTTTTCCACATTTTGCTTTAAATTTTTTAAACCAAGCACGATTAACAGAAATGTCTAGGATATTAATCGTCTATATCATAACACACATCTTAAATGTTATACACTGTAATACTAACATAAATGCAAATGTTTTTCGTGATGTATAAGTTGATCTCTTTGTATCAAGTATGTAAAATATGACGTGGACTTTCATCTTATATATACATCTTATATATACTCACAATGAGCTTCAGTTGAAAACTGTCAACGGGATTATTGAAACAGAATATTGAAGAAGACATTTGTTAGTCATGATGTAACCATAATTCTAAAAGGTTATATAAAATTGTTTTATATATACAACTAATATATTTGTGCACACATAAAGTAGGACATTGTACATAGACCAATAATATTGCATCAAATGTAGAAATCCATTAATGATGATTGTCCAATTCGAAAATTCTCTCACCCTCTTTCTAATTTCTTTATGAAGAACAATTTATTATACAGTTATATTTAAGCAAATGAACATTAAAATTTCTTATTATTAATGATTCTTATCAT